GACTGACTCCTTGCCGCTGCAACCGCTGCCCGAGTTATACCATTTTCACTTTGAATTCACCACTTTTCAAACCAAATTCACCACTTTTCAAATCAAATTCACCACTCTTTTTAGACCGGGCAGTTCACCAACCAGATCACGCCAGACACCACTGCGAGCCCCGCCCGACGGCCACGCCTACTTGTCAGCGCGGACATAGATTTTCAACACATGCACACGACCGACTCCGCCCATTCTTCAAAGGCTGTGTTGAACTTCGAACTTCGAGATTTCGTAACTTTTTCAACTTTTTGATTTCACATCCACTCTTTGCACAACGAAGACACTCGTACCCGCGCATTTATGCACTGGCAACTTAGGCTCCGCCCCCTTGGCCACGCCCACTTGCTTTTTGCGGAATTTTGATATTTTTTCAAAATTTTTGCATTTTTTACTGCTACGTGAAGCCCCGCCCACTTTTCAAAAATGGTGCAAATCGGCAGTATAGAGTCTTGGCTTGCATGCTAGGGTCTCGTCCGTCACTCGGAACAAACTTTGCCTGATTTATTTGTTCCGAGTGACGGACGAGACCCTAGCATGCAAGCCAAGACTCTATACTGCCGAGTTGCACCATTTTTGGAAAGTGGGCGGGGCTTCTTCAAAGTGGGCGGAGCCTCTCACAGTGGGCGGGGCTTCACGGAGCAGTCCAAAAATGCAAAAATTTTGAAAAATATCAAAATTCCGCAAAAAGCAAGTGGGCGTGGCCAAGGGGCGGAGCCTAAGTTGCCAGTGCATAAATGCGCGGGTACGAGTGTCTTCGTTGTGCAAAGAGTGGATGTGAAATCAAAAAGTTGAAAAAGTTATGAAATTTCGAAGTTCGCAACAAACCTTTGAAGAATGGGCGGAGTCGGCCATGTGTTGTGTTGAAAATCTATGTCCGCGCTGACAAGTAGGCGTGGTCGGGGCTCGCAGTGGTGTCTGGCGTGATCTGGTTGGTGAACTGCCCGGTCTAAAAAGAGTGGTGAATTTGATTTGAAAAGTGGTGAATTTGGTTTGAAAAGTGGTGAATTTAAGAAAATGCTATATATCCGAAAACATGAAGGTGGTCAAAAGGTGTGTTTTATGCCTCATCTTGTAGAAAAACGAACGCAGTACCGATTCAATGCCTGTAGATTGGTGTCCATTGCCTAAATGTCATCCCTGTGAAAACGCACCGTGGCCCTTGACTAATCGTGCGTGCTCTTGTACTTCGAGCCTTAATTCGCGAACGTTAATTTTGCATTAGGTTAGCGGGAAAGTTCTGTCACACTTTTTTGAACTCGAAAATACTTGCCCATTACCTGAAGAGGGGTGAACGGTAATGTGAGCACTTATACATCAAGGAGTGGTCTTTCTATTAGTACCACTCGCTTGACTCCTGCTTCTTCTTCTTCTGTAATATGGACAAGGATTTTTCCGCTACCATCGGCACCGCCCCCGCAGATGCCAAAATAATGGAGCTGAACAAGGACGATGCCCTCATTATCGGACAACCTTCCACGACGCTAATGCTTCAAAGCGGGAGCCTACAGTTTTGATGACGAAGTGAGGTTTGGGTTACCTGTGAACTCAGATTGAGGGAGCTGCGGGTCGTGAAAGTGCTGGATGAAGAAGCTGCTTCCTCGGTCAATGCGTACGCAAAGCAGCTACGAGATCTGAAGCGAACCATCGATAAGAGGGAAAAATTTGTCCGCACAGCCCGCCCTCATCATGATAGTGCAGCCTCTGTCCAAAAAAGTTCGAGCCGTACCTCATGCAATAGAGCTGGATGGCTCTCCCCTTGCACTGGTGTAGCACAGACATTGCTCCTTCTAACTGCAGTTGCCTCCCGTACTCAATCGTTATGTGGACGAGAAAACCTCCATAACCCGAGTTCAAGTCAAGATTGAGATGATGTCCAACTTTGCGTCGCGCCTCCCTGCATTGTGAAGCGATGGCATCCATGAGGTGCTCAAAAACTGGCAAGACCCGCAGTAACATTGCTGTACAATTTTGATCTTACACGCCTCTCTATAAAAAGAAAGCCTAGTTTGAAAAATGTGACAGAACTGTCCCGCCAACCAGATATGAATGCAGATGAGAAGCAGCCTGATTTCTGTCATGAGGAGTTACAGTCCGAATCGGATAATCATTATGGCCATAGATTCCGCACTATGACTTTCAAGGGGCTCTATACAGTGAAGAAAACTGTCGCTTTCAGGGTCTATTGCCTTCCCCCGACAATCAGATTGAAGAATGGATGGTACCACCCAACTAAAAGAAAAGCAAACAGCAAGCCCCGAGTAACCGTATTATTGGGCGGTTCTCGCACCCGTCTGACAATCGTGCGATTTCACCTGTTCTGGTCAGTCGAAGGTTTTGTCCAACGGCAAACGCTACGACGTCTTGTCATTCGCCGAAGTTGGCATTAAGAGCAATTCACTCATAGTTGTCAAAAAAACGAAGGTGCTACTGGTCCAAACGCTCCAGGGGCAGTGGGTGCGGGTCAGTGACGAAAGAGGGTTCTACTTACTTTGAAACCGGAAAACCACTTTTTTAAAATCTGTTTTCCTCCCTGTTTTATCCGAATTAAGCCCTCCATGCTTTCCAATGGGATGACCTGTTACGGTAGTAATGTGGCATAAACTGGCAGTTTACAGGTAACCATCAGCTCGCGGTAAGTGCCCAAAACGCCTATTCCAGGGACTTTATTAAGAAAGGTCGAGGTTAGGTGGTCGTTACCACGACCTGAGGTGAACATTGCTATCCTCCGTGCGACGTCATGAACGTCGCACTTGAGTTCTCAACCACGAGGGTGGAGAGAGTGGGAGAGATGACGCGAAACGGAGAGACGCAGATAGTCGCCGTTCTGTGCAGTGAAAAGTCCTCCAGAGGACTTTTCAAAGATGGCCATCTCTGTGGTGCGAGTTGGGGGTTCTTCAACAGCTTTCCAAGTCCAGAAATGCTTAGATCACAGGTCCTAGGTATAGCGGGGAGGACAAAAGTAAGTGGTAGGGTTGATGGCCCGGGGAATATGAATCGAGATATGAGGAGGGCGTGGCCATCCATTGCATTGTTGAAGAGAAATTTTGGAAAAAGTGAAATATTTTCTAGTAAAACGGGTATAAGGGGTGAGTAACGAAAAATGCAAATATCATGTGAAGATCTATTAGAATATGAATTGATATAGCTGGCTACCCCATTCGACTAGGGGGGGGGGATTTGAGGGGGGAAAATTAAAAAAATCAAAATTTCCTAGCAGGACTATGTAGATCAAGAGATCAAGTAAGTCAGTATCATCCGATATGTCCTAGGGCCGAGATGAATCGAAGTGGCTTGTGAGCGGAATGGTTGGGGGGGCGATTGTAAAATTTTAGAGTACCCCAAACTTGGGTAATTAAACTAATGCCTTGCCAGCGTCGACAATACCTGCTCGTACAATGTACGGGCTGTTTTCGGTGTTCAACATGGGAGGTATCGCGGATTGTGGCGAAACGGGCCACAAATGAACATGTGATATCTATGGATATTCTAGAAGTGGGCGGAGCATAGAATAGGGACCATTCGGTAGAGGTCCATACCCGTTCCAAGAAGAAAAGTCCATACCTGTTTGCCATGCTCAGTTCATTGCTTGTCCAGGGACCGCCGCCAAGTCAGCATACTAATGATAGCGTAGCGACAATTATGCGCGCTACCACTTGCATGGTGACGAGATCGATACCGACCGCCGAGCGAAGTTTTGCAAATAGCCTAGCGAAGCTCGTTGTTTCCAGCGTGGTTGCCTCGCTCATACGTCGCTCGTTGTTCTGCATAACCGAGCAACTCATCACATTTGATTGCGAGATTTAGGTATACTCGAAATCCCTGAGATCGGGTAGGCGGAGCATTCGAACACTGTAAGGAACTGGTTACTGGTGGAATATTCCAGTCTGGGACAACTGTCATCTTGTTCTGTATTGGACAGAGACACGACAACGATTGTGTCGAGATGAAAATATCGCATCAGAAGCGTAGACGCCTTGAGGGTAAGTTGAAAAATGCGGCCACGCCTACCCGATCTCAGGGATCTCGAGTGTAGACTACCGTCCCTGATAAACACTTGACAATGACAGACTTTTTGTATACAACAGTAAGAGACAAGACTCAAACGTTATAATGAATGTGCTTTCTCAGTTACTGCTCATAAGGTGAAAAATGATATCAACCAGTGCTTAATCTACGAACACTTCTATTTCTCACATGCAAATGTTGATGATTCTCCCGCTTTATTTCTTGAAGTGAAAGGGTAAAATTTTCCCAAAAATTTCCGGACAACATAAAACCAAAGGAGAAGGTAACGAATTGGACGAGGAGAGCGGGCAGGTGCTCCGAAGTGGCGAGTGAATACAAGGTCGTCCAAACTCCAAGATCTCTAATATCGCCCTTCATACTACTTACCGCCCAGAGTATGCCGCTTCGCAGGTCTGTCATGCCCGCCCACATTTTGCGTTCAACTCAACAATCTTAAGAAATTTGCGATTTACGAAGTGCGGTGGAAAAGCAATTGTTAGATCAAAATATATAAAGAGTAATGGACAAAGTCAAACGTCGATCAGACCCTTTTTCTCGGATTCATCGCGCTACCTACTCTATCCTGCTACCTTCAGAATCGTAGTGGCTAACTGACGGCGATGTTGCCACACGATGACTAATGGGAGGAGAGGGGGAAGGGGGGGGGGGATGAGAGAAAGCAGCCGATGTTCTCATCAATGCTTTCATCCTGCTGGACGAACATGGTTCAATTTGCGTTCCACGATATAAAAGACTTAGTTAGCATAGGCCGATCCGGATTTCGACCCCCGGGCCGCGTACGTCGTAAACTGCCACTCGTCACTACACCACCTCCGCTACTCCACAAAATATATAAGAGCACAAAGTGCAGTTTCTCACCACTGCATCTTTCCAACATTAATCTAACTTCAATTTCAGGTGCGAAAATGACGCTGAGAAAGCTCGAGAAACTGTGGTGAAGGCCTACGATTATCAGAACATGATCAAAAGAGTCGAAGAGATTGTGAATGAGCAAATTCAGACGTTCCTCAACTCGATCACCTCCAATCGCGTGAAGGTCAATCGCTTCTTAGTGCTTAGCCATAGAGTTAACACCAGATTTAGCGCTTAGTCATACAAGTAACAGGTGTGTGGTGCAACATAGAAATACCTCTACGTGGTGGCACAAGCGCTAGATCACCACAATGTGCTGTCCAAGATACAAAGTTCACAGGCAAGCGGGGAATGATAATTCCTTCGAAAAAAATGCGAGTGTACTGTTGACTCTCAGAAAAATGAATCCAGTTCCGAAAAAAATAGCTTGTACGTTACTTGCTTACAAAGCTTTCATGGCCGCTTCTGTTGAGACAGGTATCTTGAATAGCACATTTCGTGAGGTCTGGGTGATGAGTCCGTCAAATTTTGTTTTGAGTCCTTCAGATTTTAAAATACTTTCAAAATTTGAAGCTCATATACACACACACACCATAGATGAGGAGGGCGTGCCCGCGTTTCCTAACCGAGCAGGGCGTTTTCGTGGGTCATTTTCATTTGGCAAAACTGTCATCCTGTTTTGTTCTGGACGGATACATGACCACAGTTGTTGTCGCATAACGATAACTCTCCAAAAGGAAAATATTTCTCCAGATTCCTCCAGTCTCATCCTCACGCTGTATGGTGTACACCCCGATCTTTGGAATGAGTATTATTCTGATCAGACCAGGATTATAGAATTGCGTAAATAAGTTCCAAAAAACGTCTCAAGGCTCCGTGGTCTCCTTTGATGCTCTTTTAGTACTTCCGTGCACGATAAAGAGCTGGTTGAGATGGATGTAATGGTGGTCTCAGAACAAACATCGCCGTCTTCGAATATCGATATCACCCACATTTCGCAACCTACACCGAATTTTACTAACTTGTCCTGAAAATATGTCATGGAACGGCGGAGTAGAGGAAGCGGGGGTGGGGGGGGGGACAGACGATCCGACTGACCCTCATTTGAAAAAGTCAGGAGAATCCTACTTCAACCCTGCAAAGATTGGGTACGCTGTTTCAGTGTAACTAAAGCGCTGGAACTAGTTTTCATTTTGCTCGATCTTTTCGGGAGTCCGCCCTTGAACTTGCCTGACATTTGTCAACTTGTTTTCAGTGACTGCTTATGAAATGATGTATGATGCACCAAATTATTGCTCATAATTCCTCACCCCAAAAAAAATGAAGAAAGAATTCATGTGAGTTTGGCAACTGCTCCAAAACGCATCATTCTAATCGGCCTTCACCATCGCACGGAGAGGTCTGCGTTCACACCTTGCGGCAGCGTCCACATGCAACCATCAGCGTCCATCGTCAGTGTTTCAAGCGTCCCTCAGCGTCAGCGATTAGGAAAGTGTAGGTATCGATCTAGCGAAAGGCAGCGTCCACCAGCTAATAGGATTACAAAACTGTGTAGTAGTAGTACTGTGGGGTTGCACACGGCAATTTCACGAAGCCTAATCTCGCTGTCTGGTCCCTTCTTCCCATAATCTACTACTGGCGGCTGGTAGGCGCTAGTAGATCGATAGCCATACTATCCTAACCTCTCGAGACGCCGGTGGACGCTCCTAGAAGGTGCCATTCATAGATCTACACCTACACTTTCCTAGTGGTTGATGGTGACAGACGCTCGAAAGGCTGATGGTCGCTTGTGGTCGCTGCCGCAAGTATGAACCCATCCTTTCCTTGTTGTTCCCCATTTGACGGACTCAACACCCAGGCCAACTTATGTGATGATGATGATTGATCTTCGTTAAGAATGGTGCTAGCTGTAAAAGATTCCTTCACCACTCTTGACAACGAGTCATTTCAAAATCACTCCCTCATATAGAGTGTGTTCTCGGTGTAGTGCATAAGAGGAAGTAGTTGCATAACAGTCCGCTTTTCCCCGTTGTTAGACGTCTTCTTCCAGGGAACCTTCTCATCCATCTACACGCTAATCCTAATCTAGTAGAAAAAATCATGCAGGTTAATCTAGCATGGAGTGTGTCTAACATGGTGCATAGATTTTTCTCTGGATAGACAGTAACATAGAAAGTGTGTGTATTAATCATATCTTAATGAGTACGAACACCACAACAGGAAAGGGCGAAGTCGACAGAGATGGGCGTAGACAGTGATCTCGTCAACATTAGTGCAGCACAGTTACGTCGCAGGGAAGGACACTAAGTTCCCTGTGTTCTGGTAATAGGCTGCACCCATGTGTAGGCCGCACTTTCCAACCAAACGCTCGCGAGTGTTTCTTCTGTGCACCCTTAAAATAAAGTAGGTGGAAGGCTTGGTACTTCACAGTTGAAACTCGATTATTCGAGTTTTTAACAATGAACTGTTCTCTTTTATGGCATCGAGAACAATCCTTAGTTACCCCATAGTGTATGAACTGTCTTCGCTCTGTCCAGAAGAATATGCTTTTTCCTTGTTGTTTCGACCAAAATCACTCAGTACTATGGGGGAAGCAGGTTCTGCTCCTTTTGAGGAAAGCCCATCTCCTCGTCTTAGCAGCTCTTTAACAGCTAGGGGTAAATGCCTTATGACTCCAGACATAAAAGTCGTTGAATGGGTATCGCTCGAACTAGCCAGTTCAGGGATCGGTTGTCCCTTCCGATGTTTTCTCTCCCGACTCTTTTTCAGAAAGCACTCTAACAGTTTTGTGTCTCCCAGCTGGACGATTCCACACCGTTGTCTTCTGAGTTCTCCTTAACACCACGGCTATTCTTTTAGATAATTCAATTGGATGCCAGTCGAGACTATAGTAATAGGGTAACAGTAACTCGTACTATAGTAACCAGTTTGGCTGGCGCGCACTACTGCGCGCATGGTTAAATCTATGGTACTGATCACTGACAGTATTCCTGTGCTGATCCCTAACACTTGGCCTAATTCCCATGTTTTCAAGTACAGCCCATTTCATCTTATTTCTCCTCTTTCATGAACATTGGCCAATCTGGTGCTTATCTTGCTTCTTAAAACACTCACCATCCCGTTGGAAGTAGGACAGCTTAGCGGTTGGAAGAGTTACGATGGTAACAATATTGAAATCATACTGAAATGTCCTTCATCCTAGTACTTCCGTTGAGCGGCTTTCATATCCGTCTGTTGATGGCTCTTATCATTTCTCACTGGCAAACATCTTTAGGCTTTTACTTTTTGTCGAAACTCGAGAGTTTAGCGGTCTAATCAATCCCGATTATATTGCTAAAGGATAAAACATCTCGGCACCCGACTAAGCCTTCCATTGATTCTTAGGCCGCAGTGGTCAGTTCAGTTGCAAGCAGAGTAAAGATGCGAACATATACTGACCCTTGCTTGGAAATTATATCACAACTCCTTTCCCCCCCCCACCATGTTACTTATCCACCTAAATTAGCTGCTGGAAACAGTTCCAGTGTTGTTCGTCTTAAATTTCGGGGGCTTCCTTTCTGAAGTGGCCTCCTATCGTATCTTATCAGCTGTTATCACGTCCTGCCACCCATCAATAATGTTCCCATCCTGCCCCTTATCTTACTTCTCTTCTTGAAACCAACGTTCTATCGTTGCTGTGACGCGTATTATGAATTTGGTGGTCCTCCCCTTCTAAGGCCCGTTATGGTATCTTATCAGTTGTTATCACTTCCTGCCACCCACCAATAGTGTTCCTGCCCGACCCCCTACATCACTTATTAGTTTGAGCGTCGCTGTTTTGAAGAAAGTTATGAATTTCCGGTCAAACACACATACAGACACACACACATTCACACACACAACAGACAAACTTAGCGGATTATATATAGTAGGATAGATAAGATTAGAGATCAAGGTTACTTGTACGAAGGAGATCGCTTTTCGGTTGAAGTCGCAGGGTGGTCAGCAATAAGGTATAAAGATGAAGTGATCAAGGAGAGCCTACAAAGCTACAGGGCCAACAAATATTAGGCTGGAAAGAAAGTCTTGCCTTTGCTGTGATTCTTTCTTTTTCGTTTTCTATTCAACACACAACAGAAATTAGTCGACAAAATAAACTCGCCATTGTTAACCACTACAGTGCTCCACCTAATGGGCAGGTTAGCAATCCCCTCCTCCCGAAATTGGGTAGACTGCTAGTCGCAGAAGTCTACCCAATTTCGGGAGCTTTTTGACTGATGACATCAAACTTGCTGACACTTCTTAGCTGAAAATCCTTGGGGGCAGGGGACGGACCAGGTAATAGCTGTAGGGTCTTGACAGGCAAGTATGGCGAATAGGGTACGGTCTCCAGAACTTGCTTCTGAGCATTCTGATAGGTCTCCACAGTAGTGTGAGGTCTCGCCTCTTCACGAACGAGATTCCCCGAGGTTGTCACGGTCATTTTCCCTCAAAAATTTCCACGGTTTTCCGGAGCTGAGTGACATAATTGGTAGCTGACCTTGTCTTACAGGGCAGCTCTCTGTTCACTACTTTCCTTACGTCCAATAAGCAGCACAGGAGACCTTCTTGGAGTGCATGCCCGGCTCACCCTGCTAAGATGGGTCTCTCCTCGAGACAGTCACACCGTGGTATGTGAATTGGAATCATGGAGCATTCACCTCTCTTCTCCGCTTACCATTTTCCAGGAAACTCATTTTGACGAGCGCGGAGAAGATGAGACTGACAGTGGGTACCCGGGTGCAGCGCGTGCCATCCATCAAGGCATGTCTGATCCACCAGTACTTTTCTATTGCTAGAGGCTTAACCGGCGATTGACAACTGTCACTTAGGTACACCGAGTATTGTCGCAAAGCTGCGGATGGTAGCATCCGGATGTCTCTGACAGCTTTGAGAACAGTAGAGTCTTCCACTTCACAGGAACATCTTCTAGTCATCATCTAGAAAGCTTCGTGGCACTGGAGCGACGGCAGCTGTCTGCAACATCAACAGTGGCATGTGAGAGGACATCACTACCAGAAGGACTGCCCAGAGTCCACCGCCGTGGAGCCTTCCATAGAAGATGATGACTCAAAGATGCTCCTGTGAAATTGAGGCAGTAATTAAATCCGAGAAGAGCCGGCGCCTTGATATACCTTTTGCTCGAAGGCAGAGTGTTTTACAAGTGCAGCATGTTACGTCATGTTCAAGCATCAAAAATAAAAGCTGTTAGCTATTCAAAAAAAAACGCTGACAGGACTTTCTTCATCATCATCATCATCATCTTCTTCTTCTCTTCTTCTTCTTCTTCTTCTTCATCTTCATCTTCATCTTCATCTTCATCTTCATCTTCTTCTCATTTTTCCCGCTCTATGGTGGGGTCCGCTGTCCTTATTTTGTGACGTCATTTCTCCCGACTGGATGCCTGATAGATTACCTGAAGGTCCGCATGCAGCGTGTCTGGCCAGGGCTGTTTGGGGCACTTGTGCCCCTAAGCCGCCTTTCGAGTACTCCGAGCTTCAGCTCACTCTTAAGGGCGGTGTTTGATTACGTAGTTTCTACACCATACATATCCTTGAACTCATATACGTTCGCATCCATTCAATTCGTAAATTGAGAGTGAAATGTAGATGGTGTGGTCAACGGTTCAAAGAATGGTCTCGAAAGCACTGCCTGTGGTGAAATGGAGCTCAACGCTCTTAAATAACATGGTGGCCCGGTCCTGCACTTTTTTCAAGACTTGATTGCAAGCAGCGTGCAGGAAGCTGTTAGACCCATGGACTAATAATAGGCCTATGACGGCCTTTGGTGCTTGTGTCGTCGTGACTACGTTGCTGTGCTCTACTGGTCGTTTTCTGGGCCTTCTCGCTCTATTCAGCGTATCGTCCCTCTTGGTCTTTGACTGTTCTTGACATCTTACGCTCTCGAGTAATGGTGACCAACAGCGAGCATGAGGGCCTCATAGAGGACTTTTTAGATGCTCTGTTCCTTAGCGTTAAGCTCACTGCATTTCTGTTTCAGAACTCTATAACCCTACGGCTTGCGATCATGGGGATGTTTCTTAGCAAATCATTTCCATAGCATCCATAGTGGCACGCTAACATGACATCGTCATTATCCTCCCGAACTCAGCTGAAAGCTAATTTTGTTTTGGAGCGACAACAAATTCTCCAGTCAGTGAACCACTGAGTAACAATGGAATTTCCAAGCCAGACTTCTCCCTTAAGGAAACTAGAAAAAAAACGAGAAAGTGTTGTTAATCGATTAGGATATGTTGGATACTGTCGACATCTACTCATCATACTCATCTACGGGAGAGTCTTTGAGCCTCACCTTTTGCCCGTGCTTTCTGGAGAAGGCCTAGATCGTGTTCACATCCCTTCTGGATGGAATCCGTCTTCAAACGGAATACTCAACGTTCTAAGTGACCAGGTTAATCACGCCGCACTCATGATGGTGACTTGTTTTACTTCCATTCCGTAAGGGATGAACTGGTACATCGCTCACTAGTGAAGATTCGGTGAAGGATGCTTACAGTTGGTTACATTTCTTGAAATTATAGACATAGTGCATTGCTTCAGCTTAACTAAATCGCAAACTAATAGGTTGTTTTTTATTTTCAGAATCTTTTTGTTCAGCAAGTGGTGAATGCCGGTGCGTCAGTAGCGCGCTGTATAAAATTGTGCTTCATCGAAAAGAACAAAGACGGTTTCTGCTTCGATAAGAAAGGGTGAGCAATCAGAGTCGATGGAGGCAACTTTTATAGAAATTTTAGAATTGCAGTTTTCGAATTCCATAGTAACTAAATTAGAAATCAATTAATAGTCAATAGTTAGCAGTATTTATCATTACTGAATGTTAGACTGACTATACAGAATGCCGTGACCTGCTTTGTATTATGTTGTCTCAAAAGTTCGTGACCATTTTTAGAATCTCGTATCAGATCTTTCCGTAGCCATTTCGAGATCCAGTTATGTGGTCTATGGGAAGTGTGTTAAGTAAGCATCCCACAGCTTCTTTACCGTCCTCGCAGTCTCATATCCAAAATAATTGAAGTTCATCGTTTTCGACACACTTCGCTTTATGAATTTCCACCAAGTCACGACCTGGTTGGAGCCATAAGCGCCATTTCTCTGATTAGGTCTTGATGGTAACATCCACAGTACGGCGTTGGCCCGATCGCTTCCGCTTGGGGGATTTTTAGCTGGAAGAAAAGCTTCTCCCAGGGAGGCCATCTGCCTTGGAGTTGGGCCTGCTGCGTTTCTTGATTAAAACCGGCTCGTACAAATCAACTCGCTAACTAGTTATTTCACTTGACTGTTTCAAAATCACTAATGACAAAGCGCCTTGCTTTCTTAAAATAGTGTTAAAAGTCGGTCAAAATTTTTCTCATGCGTTGGCCGATACTCCAGGGGGAGCTCCTTTGGGTACTGTCTACAACTTCTCTCCCGCTTCCGCCATACGAACTGGTTGAACAGCGTTGTAACTGGTTTTTGGAGGCGATGTCCCTGGGTGGATCATTCCCGAAAGCGCCAGTACGTAGACCTCACAGAGAGGGCAGAAACGGTCGCGTGATCTCACCAATCCAGTAGGGCCATGAGACATCTAAACTAATCCCTCTGCGACCATCTTCTGTGTAAAAAAATACGATTTTTGAAAATACCTCAGAAATGACCCAGCTGCTTTTCTCGGCACGAAAACCAGAAGGCTTCTGAAAGCAAGGCAACCACTCTTCGCCGGCACAAGTTGTTGCTGAAGGTAACATATATATTGTTGATCAAAATTGCTTCTCACTGGAATAAACTAACTCGAAAATAGTTTGAAAGTTTCACGAACTTTTGGGACAACCTAATAGATATAGCTGAGAAATCTTTTACCGTTTCATCCCTCGTACTCAGAATTGAGGTTTGTTCTGCACTCCGTAACTCATGCTTATCGATCAGCAACAAAAACCATCAGGAACTGTGTCCAGGCTACCGATGAGAAGGAAGAGGAAGTAAAGAGAAAACGGAAAGGGAGCGGCCATATTCCAGTTCCGCTAATTTTTTTGCTTGTTCACCTTGAACAACAGATGTTCCTGGATGGGACCTATGAACTCGTGTGAAGCGGCTACATGCTAATAGTGAATCTTTTTGGTTGCAAGAATTTTTAGGCAGTCTATTTCGAATTTAACATCAAAAATTGGACGAAAAACTCACCCTGAGTAAATGAGTCGCCCCAACAAGCGGTTCTTTAGGCATTTTACCCGTGTAATTGATTGAGGCTGAAGGGGTTATATTAAAGCTGTTACCGATGTTTCCTTCGGTGAACGAGTCACTCGGCAACTTCCCTTCCACATTTCACCGCCAGCACCTACGCTTCTTATCGTGGATCATCTCTTGGAGAAAAGTGGCATGAAGCAAAATAGGACTAGTCGTGGCAAAAAAAATAAATCAGTTTGTTTGTCGTTCTGTTGAGGAAATGTGAATTATGTCGTTTTGCATATGGTGAGAGGAAAAAAGTATAGAAGAGAAAACTTCCATTGCAGCTGTGAACCGAACATTGCCGATCGTAACGCAAAACTTGCCATAAAGCAATGCTCACGTTTAATAAACTGGAAGAAAGAAGCCAGCGACCTATGCCTGTGTTCCAGCCAAGCAGGTGTTCAGTGAGTTGCATCCTACATCTTTTTTGAACGACTTCAAGTTTACAATCTGCAATTTTCTGTACCTGTTTCCACTTCCATTAGGTTCACGAAGAAGATTAATCGGGACCAAATGAAGTAATGAGCAGTTGATTGTGGACAAAGACACATGCCAGTGAAGTGCTGATAGGGGTTGTTAGTCAGCTTGCGAGTGGTCCCCAGAAAAAAGCAAAGCCGCAAATCAGCTCAAATTAGCGTGAGCCCACCCATTAAAGGCACCTTCTACGTTCATTTGAAGTTCAGACGCTTCCTATGGACGACTTAGTTCTGTGCGCGAATATGAAGTGTGCACTACTTTCGCAGCTAAAAACTACGTACGTGCGAAAGCGCAATGCTCGCGACGAAGCCACCGCCCCGCTTACTGGCAACGCCCAACTTTCATTTCTGAAGACATTTTGGTTGTGTGGTTGTTCTACTACTAGTTCTCTACTTTACGAATGGTGAGAGTGAGGTGATAAGAAGAGAGAGAGGGAGCCTAACATTACTCTCAAATGGCACACCCACTAAGCCAGCGCCTTTGCGAAATTGCGATCTACCAGGATATTTGAAGTTGGAGCTTTAGGCGCTATCTGAATTTTTTTCTCCGGGACACTTAAAGAGGCCGGCTTCAGAGGAAAAAGCGGATTCAAATGGGATTCTGCTATTCGACAGCGATTCGCTGCCGACGTATATCCATGTGTGGTAAAGGATTTCCCGCACTTATACTGAAACGCCAGCTGCTGAAGAAGCGAAACGTTTATCCCTGAATATTCAACTAAATATCCTACCTGAGCATCTCGAACGGCAGAGAGTCCTTCACAACTATGATAAATACTTTTTGTTCCCTTCAACGCTCTTTCAGAACTATGCCGAGCGGCGTTAACGTGACGACCATGTGGTAAAAGTATGAATGGCACGCCACAGGTGTATGAATATGAACGGAAAAAAATTGGCAAATTTGTCGGATGTTCTCCAAACCCTTTCTTGGTGTAACCTCGGCAGCACTGTTGATTTCTCTAACCAGTCAGATCGCCCGGCTCACGCCGAGTTCTCTTCCTTCACTTCAGCCACTTCGGGCTGGCCTGGCTTCGCCAGGCGCACTTCATGATGGAAACGGAGCTTGTCGTTCTTTGAGCTGCTCACGTTGCGCTGTGCTGATCGAATCGTGACCCAGGGACTGTGCACTCTTGAATCCACGCTTATATTAGAAGAGGATAGGTGATAGGCCATAACGCCCATGTTATACATTGACCTGTGGATATAGATAGAAACTACAATTGGCCAGCACAGCACAATACGAACTGCGCAGTAGAAAAATCATTCCGTTTAAATTACCTGCGACGAAACGCTTACCGGTAAGCGCTCACCTTTTGCGTTATCAGCAATCCACTAGCTGAAATCCCATAAAAGATTGCACATGCTAGTAACGAATTGGGCTATATTAGTTTTACATTGTTTCATACACCCTTGTTAGGCGTTTCCTTTACATTCATTCATCATTGTGTATAATGTTTGTAGTATTGAGACTCTAGCCCTTCGACTGAATAGAGCTGCAACATTCCTTATCAGCCCCTACCAGCTGCGGTCACATCTGTCACCCATGGTCCGCGTTCCCTTTTCCCCTGCATCACTTGCTGGATCAATGTTATGAATATGGTGGCTTTCCCATTATTACTCCCCTTATCAAACATTATCAGCTGCTAGCAGTTCCTGTTACCTTCCAATGATGCTCCTGATCCATACCTTCAACCATATTGGAAATAATGTCCCACTGTTGCTGTGACCCGTGCTATGGGCTTGGACACCCTCCCCTTCTAACACCCCTTATCAAATCTTATCAGCTGATATCACTTCTTGTCACCCACCAATAATGTTCTATCCCATACCATGTGTTATATCATGGAATCAACGTTTCACCGTTGCTGGGACCGGCGTCATGAATTTCAGGACAAACAGACCGATACACATACGTGCAGACTTAGCAGATTGTGTGGAGTAGGATACCTCGCACCGGCACTACAACATGGATTCAATCGCAGATCTGCTAGCAGTGGAGCACTCCTCTTCCACTGTGGTCGCTTTCACTAATGCATTTTAATTTGCCCACCGCTGCAGTGTGCTTCTGATTGGGCACACCACTCATCCTCCTCCCCCTTGCACGTACTCACGTCAAACTGCCAGGCGTGCAACATGTGCAAAGGTTTGGAACACACGAAATGGTTGTCTTATTATAGTGAACCGTGTTATTACATTCCAAACAATACCTCGAATTGATACTACAACACGGGAAGGATTGTGCTAGCATTTGATCTCTCTTTTTCATCTTGCAGCTTGCACTGACGCTTTTGTTTCCACCGTTGTGGTTCTCTCTTCGAGCACATTCAGCACTCCCCCCAACCCTCCCCTAGCTCCGTCGCAGCTCACCCCTCGCCCCTCCCCTTTTACATGCCCCTACACGTGCCCATGTCCACCTGCCGCGCGAGCAGCTCGTGCAATAGCTGGGACTAGGTTGTCTTATGTTGTGGATGCTATTACACTGGATTGATACTTCTGCACAGATCGCCTTCTGAATGGGCTAGCGGTGGTTTTCTTCGTTCAATTTCCCATTCAATTCCGTGAGGCATTTTGCGGACGGACATACATACATACATATTTACATACATACATACATACAAACGTACAAACCGACACACAGAGTTTCTGTTTTATCAAGTGAAAGGGTTTTCGTGCCTGTCAAGGTTTTCAAGTGAGATACTTTATCGAAAGGCTAGTGTTCCGACGTGGTCATCATCTCCAAAAAAAACGTGTCTCGTGTTTAGGATGTGAACGCAACATTGCCTAGTGCCCAGACAACTTTTAGCACTTCCGATGGTGCATTCTCAACCCAACAATACGAAAAGCGCTCTTAGCGTTTCCACGGTTACCCAATGTTATACGTAACGAATGACTGTAGCGTCCCCTTGGACGTCTAAAAAATTCCCCCTCCTCATTTCGATGAAAAAGATAGGAGATTCAACCTCCTCTAAAGCCATTTTGCTTACATTGGTATACCGGACAGTTTTTTCTTCACGGGAATGTACGTCGAAAGAACAAGGATGCCAGTTTTTCATACCTGCATAAGGATAGAAAAGTCGGGGCGGATTTGCATCTCTATCTGCTTTAAGGCAAAGTCGGCATGCGAAATGTGCAGTGTGCAAATACGATAGACCATGACAGGCTCTCCGTGAAAATTCTCAAAATGCTGAAATTCATAGAAACCAGCACCATGTTGGTCGCGATGTTCAAAGTAAGGGTAACTCGACCCGTGTTACAATTCTTAGTGACACTCAGCCCCCTCTAATGCGTTCATTTTTTAAACTAGATCCGTCCTTTGCACCGCTCAATGCAGTTGCCTTTCGTGACCTTTTGTTGGAACGCTTTATTGACTAAGATATCTGCTACTGACTAAGATCGGACATGATATGAGGGGCATATCACTCTGAATCTCAATCCAAGACTGACGATTTGTACCATTCCCGCACACCTTCTACAGAGAACCCTAGCAAGTTCACGAAGTCGATGTCAAGATTAGAAGTTTATTCACGGGTTTCATAGCTGCTCTACACCAAAGTATTCACGGGTTTCATAGCTGCTCTACACCAAAGTAGGCAGTCTGA